TCGTTTGAAACAAGTGCTTACTCACCCGGTGTAGTTGGTGTTCGTTGTTAAGTCGACGTACTCGTGTTCCAAACTATCCGTTCGACTACTTTTCTGATCGTCCGCACAGAAGAAGGCTCCGTAGCATCTAAATTCACACTTGCTAGCTGAGAAGGTTGAGTAGTAGATCACCTAGCACCTGGGATTCACTTTTGTAAGTGGGATCTCTAAAGACGAACTGTACACTCACCTACGAGGAGGGTCCTTGTAACTTGCGAGGTTAATGGGTCCCAACTGCAGCAGCGTTACACCTTCTTTACTCAAAGTGAGTGGGGATGGAGAGTAGTGATACCTGAGTGTTGTCTCCATATTCCGCCCGTGCACTGTTGAGCGGAAAAAGTTGCACGCTACTGAAGCTGCGGACCAATCGCAAGGACCCGGACTCCCGGATGTGAGTAATGTACAGTATGTTTTGAGCAATAAGTAAAATGACTTGAAATGAGCTGGCGGACCTTTGGTTCACATCGGCGCCTCTTTGTAGCAGTATCCTAACCATCTGCACGTCATGATTGATGATCGCTAGGTGTAGTGGCGATAAACCTTGAATCAAACGATTTTTCAACTTCTTCAGTGTATATCTTCTATATCGGAGAGGAAAAAGGGTCGCTTCAGCGACGTCGATTTCCCCGCCAACTCATTCTCATATGTACATACATAAGTCTTATTCGTCGGACACTGGGACGTGACTTGGCGCGGTGCCAGCCCACTTTCCACCAATTGTGGTCGCCTCCCAGCTTTCACAGCTTTCACAGTTGGTGGCGAACAGGCTGGTGCGCGTCAAACAGCTCCCCCCCCTCTAAAACACCCATCGCCCACGCGAGCAACACTGCACTTCTATCAGTCGTGAAAACAAGGTCGCGATTGGATAGCGGGAATCTTAGTAGTGTTTCCGCGGTAATTGAAACTCAAAACTTAGGCTGAGCCGCTAAGAATCACCCATATATACAATATCGCTTTGTTTGTTTGTTTGTTTGTTTGTGAGTTTGTAAGTTTGTAAGTTTGTAAGTTTGTCTGTCCGGAAATTCGGTTCGACCTGAAGAACGACTTGGAGAGGTCCAGTCAAGGTGGGGATAGGTAGGGCATGGGACAAGAAATAAAAAGCACACTTGACCTATGGCAAGCCCCGCCCACAGTGGGCGGGGCACAACACGTGCCGAAAGTTTGGGTTTCCGACAAGTAAAATTGTTTCATAATTCGCTTCCGAGAGCAGCTTAAAGATGGGGGAAAAAGGGAACTAAGGTTAGTAAGGAGTCGCCAGACTAACTGTGGCAGGTACACCCTAAATGGGCGGGGCGTACTCAAGGTGGGCGGTGCTTCTCGCAAAATTCAGTAACCCGGTTCGCGAGAGTGTTTGGAAGTCGCAAAAAACTCAGTGTAGAATGTAAATATCCGGCGAATATAGGGCACGCTCAAAGTGTGTTGAGACCCGCCCACAGTGGGCGGAGCTTGCCCTAAATCGCAGGGTATTCATTTTAAAAGTTTGTAGCTCGGTTCCAGAACACTCCAGATACCGGAAAAAAGTGGATTAAGTTCAGCAGAGGTCGTCGGTTAAGATGGTGGGGGCCAAAAAATTGCTGGGCGGAGCCAGAAAAAAGGTCTATAACCACGTCCCAGGAGCACTCCAGAAGACCGGAATAGACAGTGGACTTCAAGGTCAGCAAGGGGTTTGAGAAGTGTGGGGTAGAGATATTGTGGGCGGAGCCAGCCCGAGGTGGGCGGAGCCAGACGAAAATTCTCTAAAACTGTCCCAGAACACTCTCAAGACCGAAAGGAAATCAATTGATCAAGGTCAGTATGAGGGTCTACTGTGTGAGGATGGTGGGGCACAGAAAAACATTGTGCATTGACATTGTGGGCGGAGCCAGACAAAAGAGTCTGCAAAACGGTTCCAGAGCACTCCGAAGACCGGAAAAAGTGGATTAAGGTCAGCAGAGGGTCGCCGGTGAGGATTGTGGGGCACAAACATTGTGGGCGGGGCCTGCTCCGACGGCGGCGGAGTTAGACGAAGAATCTGTAAAATAACTCAAGAGTACTTCAGACAGATATCAGCTGAGTCTAGAAATATGTGAGAGAAAATAGCGTGGCGAAGCCGCGCTCGCCCGGCGCAGCCGGGCCGTATCAGAAGGAGGCGCGCCGGCGTTAGCCGGCTAGCCGACATGTATGATATAGTTACTGCGCCTCTCGCGTAGCAAGGTAGTTGAGGTTTCAGAGAGGACATGCACGCCACCCCATCGTTATCACCCCTCCCCCCCATCTGCGGCTATCAACGATACCCCGTCGGAAGAACTGTGTGAAGGAAGAACGGTCGTGAGATGGGAGAACATTCAAGAGGGTTCGATCTACCCGCGTTCTGACACAAAGTTTCGCAGGTAGGAAACTTTAATAGGCCATATTTTTTTTGCTGTTGTGACCATTACTGTTGGCGTTTCATTCGACAAAGTATGGCCCGACGTTTGAGTTAGTTCATTACTTTTGAATTTTGTGTTGCATCGGGGTGTTGTGGCCGCTAAGCTCTCTGCGAGTGGGGGGACGAGCGCTCCTGCCAAAGAACGCTCGCCTCTTCGTCGCAGCCACCCACGTTGCGCCTGGCAGGTTATCCACTTGCCATTCCTCTTCATCTCACCGCCGTAGTAATCCTCTGATGTACAAATATCATTGAGCAGTTTCGGGTAAAAATCCAGTATCCGAAGAGCAAGCATGCTATGAATTATTGTCCCTTGTAGAAGACAAACGCCAACTATCGTTTCTCCCATAGACCCTGAAAAAGAGCTTTAAATAGGGATGCATAAGAATTGGGAAAGAAATGAAAATAAAATTGGGAAGAACTGAAAATAAAAAAGAAAAAGGAGGTGAGGAGAGAATCACAAGAAATGCAAAATATTTCATTGATAACAAAAAAGGCAACGGCAGCGAGTTTGGGGGAGGCAACGAGTCCGTTCGGTTGAAGGAATATCCCCAAACTCAGGCTAACTTAAGCGAGTGAGTAGTGACGGGTGCGACCTTAGAAAAGCTCTGATTTTGGGCAAAAGTCGGATACGTGGTGTTCTCAAGGGGACCAATCGTTGCCGAGCGACCATCAGTGGAGCTTGTTCAAAAAGTGAGCAGGGAGGACATTTTTACCGGGTTACAAATAGGGGCGTTCCCGCGATACCTTTCTTATGCCGAACTCTTCTCTTATAATTACGTCTCTGCCTCTCTTTCGCTGAGCCCTCGTGGTCGCAGCCGCTTCGTCAGCTACGTACGTCGCCTGTTGTCCTTGGATGCGGACTGTACATGCATATCCCTTGTGGACGTGACTGCGGACCTGGCGGTTGCTGCGCTTTTGAAAGATATTGCTATTCCGGGACAAACATAAGCATGTCCTTGTCAGGTACAACACAGGATGGCAGTGATTTCAAATGGAAACAACTCACAAAAAGCGCCGTATCCACGTGAAGTACGCAGCTACGCCTTTCTCTGGGATATGGAGTGTATATGCTACCTCCTGCACTGATTTTAGTGGAATGATACCTTACGACCACGTAAGGATTGAAGACAATAGCATCTAGGAGTATTCTGGGAATATGGCCACAAAACCTCACCTCTCTCTTCGAGTTTCCAATTCAGCTCACGATACTTGGATTCTGATTTTCCACCTTTTCCACCTCCATCGAGAAGTTTTAGTGCTAAATAAGCACCGATAGGTTAAACAGCGACTCACTTGCTAAATTCATCAAAAATCTACCCTTTTTGAGATCTCCAGCATTGACGTCATTTTGATCGAATCCTT